GGGGGGGGGGGGGGGGGCTTCGTATCGGTGGTTGAGCGACCTAGGCATCTTTGCCCGGATCTGTGGCATTGGAAACATCGTGTTCCCTATCAATCTTTTTTTGTGAGCTGCAAATATTTCGATGAACAAGACGAGCCAGCCACTTGTCTGCGAAGAAGAAGGGCCATCGTCTACGAAGAAGCGTCCTGCAACGAAGATAAAGAAATATCGTCCGGTCTCAGCAGCAACGAACGCCCTTCGCGCCACAGAGATATCACGTCGACAATCTTCGGAAATCGACCATACTAGGGAGGAGGTCTATCACACAACAGTAATTATTTTTATCCCACCGTCGGAAGCAGCCGATGCCCTCTGGTTTGCCGTCCCTGAACTCTCCCTGCAACGTGTCGCCGCCTGCTCCAGATAGGAAACCCACGCCGTGTATCTTTCCGCGGTGGAACTCGCCCTCGTATCGGTCTCCATTGGGGTGCGTCAACACCTTTTCGTTGTGGTCGTTGTTGTTGTTGTTGTTGTTGTTGTTGTTGTTGTTAAAAAAGTAAAGATCCTCCACAAACACACACACACAAAAAAAAAGAAGCGCAGTGCAGTCTGCGGTGTCGTTTCTCGTCGTTGCGGCTGTCCTCTGTCTTTTCTTCTTTTTGTTCTCTCTTTCGTGGAATGCATATTCGGACGGCAGACAATCATGTCGCGACCACTCACTCACCCCGTAGCCCTCACGGACATTGCCGGCCCACTCGCCGATGTACTCCCGACCGTCCGCGCTGCGGAAGATCCCGGCACCGTGCCTCACTCCGTCTACCCAGTCGCCCAGGAACACGTCGCCGTTCGGCCAGGAGTAGACGCCATACCCCTTGTTGTTGCGTGTCATTTCAAAGGGGGCGCGTCAATTGGGACGTGGGGGAGGGGTCTTGTTTTGCCTCGCGAATTTAGGGGGGGTTGGATCCTGGACCCTCTTTTGGTCGGGCCGAGAAGGGTTGCCATTTGTGTACCCTGCATTGTACGTACATCTCGCCATTTTACCATGCTTCGCGAGGAGAAGTAGAAACACAAGCAGGTCACAAAACCTGTGGTGCGATGTTGTGCTGGACATGGATAGGCATGAACACGTTCGGTGTCTGTAAAAAAAAAAAAAAATGGGGGGTTGTTGGGCGTTGCTCCGTTAGCACGGGTCGATCGCTGTCTGTCCGTACGAATCCATCCACTGCTGCCATAATTTTTTTATGCCGGTGTCGACTTCATCTTCATACACTCGATTTTACGATAAGCGAGGGAAAGGAGCAGCCGAAAACCTTCCAGCGACAACACTCAAACGACGCACCGCTGGAGAGAGGTGGAGAAAATCAAAGAAACTCCTGTGTGGCCTTCTTCTTCCTCCGAATGACCCCGGTGATGTGTCCAGAAAACTAACGTGCCGAGGACTGTAAACACTGACGTCCAGAATGAAATGGTATGACAAAACACTGGACGCACCAACAAACGCTGAATGAACATCAGCAGCGTCTACGTGCGCGAACCCACCACCACAAGTCAGCCTCACACTGCCGGACGCTGGTACAAAAGGAACTTCCCTGTTCGCACACACCCTTGCCGCGTAATTTATTCCGAAAGCCAATTACGCATGGAATTATTATAGCCATTTTTTTTTCCTGCAAAAGACAGGAAAGCCGTACTTCTTGCTTGATGGTTATGTTGTTAAATTAACCACGTACGATAACAGGCCGCGCTAATAGTGCGTCAGGAACACCTCGTCGAATAGCCACTACGACGGTGCACTACGGTGCGGTCGGTCTACAGACATGCAAACCTTGAAGCAATGTATGATGATGGGGCCATCACCACATCCACCGTTACCCCGGAATCTCACCCGGTCCGGCCATCCCCCGGTCTATTCCCGTCAAGAAAATTCGGCGAAAAGCACACCTGGAAAACCTCGTTGACCACCGTGCCCTTGAGCGAGGCCCCGCTGGGGTACACCTTGGTTCTTTCCCCGTTCCTCCTGGGGTAGATCCTCGAAACAATCTCATTCGTCGACGGCCTTACGTACGGGTGGTACATCTTGCACCCTTGACCAGAGGGGCACCGGGGTTCTCCTTCCCTTAATGCCGCGGCCAGGGCAAGGGGGCATACCTTGGGG